ACTAGTTGAAATCACGTCTCTCTTGTAAATGAGTCCTCGAGGCTCAATAGGATTTACCTGTCTAAATAAAGGTTGAATGAATTTATTGTTGCAGTCTTGCAGCACACGTAGCATTAGCAGCCTAGCATCTCGTTGCGGTCTCCTGCTTGGGAACATTACGGCTTTCTTGTTAAAAGACAAGGGAACAAATCCAAAGCTGTGTGTCAATGTTTCATAGAGCTTGAATCTGCAGCAGGCAACAAGTCTAACTTGTTAATGCATTTCAAACGACATCATCCGAATGTGAACGTCTCTTCTACAAGGAAGAAAAGCAGTCTCGGTGCAAAGACCGATACTGGCAGCATTTAAACAACCTTTATCAGGTAATTCAGAGCAGTCCAAAGCAATAACACAAGATGTAGTTTTCAAAGCTCTGGATCTACGTCCATATTCTGTTGTTGATGCGCCAGCTTTAAAGTCATTGAGCCCCGCTATGACATCCCATCACGTCGCCACTTTGCCAAAAAAGTTGTACCAGCACTTTATGAAAAAGCTAAAAGTGATATTGTCAACAAGCCCTGGAGCCCAGATTTAAAGCCCTGCCCTGATGATGATGAGAGAGAGAATATTCAACAGAAAGTATGATCGTGCAAGAAGAGGTATTGTTATTGTATTATTGTGATCTAATTAACTTTTTTATTTAAAATTATAATCTTATAAATTCCATTTTTTAATCTCTTTGTGCTGTTTGGCAGTCTGAGGATGTCAACGAGATAGAGCCGAGTCTTCTTCATCCACCCGATCACCTCCAGCTACGTCTGTAATGAATTAACTTGTTTACTTGGCATATTTTCAAAATAAATATTTTGTAAGTCTTTATTTTGGCCTTTTTTGTACTGAAAATTAACTGGACCGAGCCCTCCTTGAAACTGAACCGATCCGAAATTAGATTTTAGCGTACCGTTACACCCCCTACTCATCACAATCAGTGGGAGCAATATCGATATCGCAACAGACTGCCATAAATCATAGATCATCATATTTCAAGCACCATGAATTCAGACTCTGCACAATAATAATAAATAAATAAAATTTGGTCAATCCAGCAGACTCACTGGTTTTGAGCCTCCACTGGGTTTAGAGAACACTGATGGCAAGAGGAAAAAGTGAGGAAAAAAAATAGGTTTATTGCACCTGATATCATCACTGAAGTCAGTCGTTCCAACAAAAACATTTTTATTCAAAATTATTCTGAATTTAGAAAGCTCTTTTATTGGGAAGCAAATCTACAGAATAAATGTCCAGTTGTTTTATATTTATTTATTATTTTGGCATTTACCATGTCCTGAATGGCTGAGAATACACACTGTCATGGCAATATTAATCAGGGATATCACACAGTATTTTTGATAATGTGCATGTGATACCATAAAAAATTGATTTAACATATTGTTCAGTATACCAAATAAAAATCACATGAATCAAGCATATTTAAGTTACACTGAAGGCTAATAATGGGGTCAATGTACAACCAAAAATAGGCAGTGAAAAAGGTCAACTAATGCGCTTTCTATGGCCAAATCCAATATTTATACATCAAGTCAGACAATGGCCAATACAATGTTTTTTCATCCATCCATCCATTTTCTTCCGCTTATCCGGGGTCGGGTCGCGGGGGTAGCAGCCTAAGTAGGGAGGCCCAGACTTCCCTCTCCCCAGCCACTTGGGCCAGCTCTTCCGGGGGAATCCCAAGGCGTTCCCAGGCCAGCCGAGAAACATAGTCCCTCCAGTGTGTCCTGGGTCTTCCTCTGGGCCTCCTTCCGGTGGGACCAGGGAGGCGTCCAGAAGGCATCCTAAACAGATGCCCAAGCCACCTCAACTGGCTCCTCTCGACGTGGAGAAGCAGCGGCTCTACTCTGAGTCCCTCCCGGATGATCGAGCTTCTCACCCTGTCTCTAAGGGAGAGCCCAGACACCCTGCGGAGAAAACTCATTTCGGCCGCTTGTATCAGAGATCTCATTCTTTCGGTCACAACCCAAAGCTCGTGACCATAGATGAGGGTAGGAACGTAGATCGATCGGTAAATTGAGAGCTTCGCCTTTTGACTCAGCTCTCTCTTCACCACGACAGACCTGTACAGCGCCCGCTTCACTGCAGACGCTGCACCTATCCGCCTATCGATCTCACGCTCCATTTTTCCCTCATTCGTGAACAAGACCCCAAGATACTTGAACTCCTCCACTTGGGGTAGGACCTCCTCCCTGACCTGGAGAGGGCACTCTACCCTTTTCCGGCTCACAATGTTTTTTATTTTATTTTTTTATTTACAACAACAACAAAAAAACAATTGTTTAAAATTTAAATAAAATTCTTAACCCTTTGGAAGTTAAGAAAAAAACTAAAAATTTATAGAATAACGTTCTTGTACAAAAATCCTGAATGGGTCTTTTTACATATACTAATGTGCATGCTCAAAGCCAGTATTTTGCAAAGCATTGTGGTCTAGATAGATTCCTGCCTACTCCTGGTTTTTTAACCTTTAATCGACTTTTGTCGTATGTGTAAATTTGTTGCCATCACTGACCATAGCCTCCTCATCTGACAAAACATTAGAAATTAAGTTTCACATTTGCATTAATGTAATCTAACAGTGGAAGTCTACCAATATAATCCATCATAGTTACCGTAAATATCTATGAAAATATTACGCTTGTGCATTGGTACCCATAAACAGGTTCACTGTAGAGATGGGATATATGGATCTTTGAAGGGAGCTGGATCTTGAAGATCTGTTTGTTTCAAAGAGTTCAAGTTCATTGTCATTCACATCACATGTGGTACATGAGGTGGAACGAAATTATGTACTCGGGGTCCCAGTTACACCCAAAAATAGCAAAAATATAAAGTATAAAAATAAACAGTACATAAGGATCTAAGATATACACTAAGATTTACGCTAAACGAACGCCAAACAGTACTCTAAAACATATAAGATATACGCTAAATACTAATAATGTAAAACAATATGGCGTATCAACAGCAGATCGAGCATGAGCCATTTAATTCTGAACAGTAGTGACATCACATCCTACGGCCGGTACGTCGTGACTTAAGTAATGGCCGTACCACGTGTCTTGTCACACGCGCAACCCCTCCCCCCTCCTGCACTCCTCCCCTTTGCCTGTTCTCCTAGGTCTTAGTGGAAAAACGAAGATGGAGTGTGTGTCTCTGTATTTGAGGACAACATGAAGAAATCATAAAGAGGAAAAAAAAAAATCCAACAAAGATCAGCTCACAACTGTCTGCGACTCAGATCGTCGTAAAGAACTGTTCAAAAGATTCAAATGGTTTGTGAACGTCTCATCTCTAGTCCATTGTGGGGTACAGTAAGCTAGTTGTACTACCTTCATTTCCCTACTTAATAGTTGATATAGTCCAGGTATATTCTCTGATTAGCTCTGCTTTTTTAGGGACATTTGGTTTCAGTGAGTAAAGGAGACACCAGTTTGATAGAAAACACCACTGACTAGTGATACCAAATAAATTATTTAGACAGAAAATTGCTTAACTTACATATAACTTATAAATGTACTTAAATTGTGCATTTCATAGGGGTTTTAAAATGTCTTCTGGTTTTCACCCTGCATTCTTTATATCACTTTAGTTCAACCTGAACTAATCAGTCTGTTTAAATTGAACCTTTAAAGCTCAAAGCTGACCAAAAAAAAAAGAAAAAGAAAAAGTGGCACAAAAGATATAGCAACAAGAGAAAAGAGCAGGTTTGTAAACATGAATGTCTCCACTTTTATATTTTGTTAAAGACCATGAGAGCTTGTTAAATTAATCAAGTATTGCCACAGTCCAAGTCATCTTTCAATCTTCTACTGCTGGATTAATTTATTTTTTCTTCTCTCGGCATTCAGTCACAAATATCTGCACACAAACAGCAGTCCTACAAAAAAAACAACTTTTGAACATATTTCATAAAACTGGCTGAATACATAATAATTACCAAAGAAAATCAACTAGTGAGCGTCCAAAAAACAACAACAAGAAAAACAGGTGGTTGTGCTATCTGACAACTACAAATGCAAGTTGAATCCACAAAAGTGGTTCGATTAAGACTTTTTTAGGGGCAGAAATGATGGACTGTGCGCGCATGGGGATGTTTTGGGTCCTTTGGGCAGCCTCAACCACCAGGGGTACAAATTAATGTTAGCCTTTAGCTTTTGTTAAGCCAAGCTTGGGCACAAAGCAGCAGCACGGAGCTAACTGTGTTAGCCTGTTGTGTTGAACTCTGACTAAAAGTCACAGTCGTCGACTACAAGTGGCATAATGCTGAGAGACATTAATACCCGCCACCTAACTCCACACAGCGAATTTTACACAGTTTTTAGGGGATTTAACTTTACAAGGAGGCTCGCATAGCAAACAGGTTACCGACGGATCCACCAGTAACCAGACTCGTACTGCTGCCACCCACGAGAAAACGTTTCAAAATTAAAGCTTCGGCGTCTCGTTTCCCATTTGATAAAGCCACATATAAAAATGTGGAGATGACGGCAAGTTCTACACGCAACTTTAACCGCATCACCAACCTTCAACCGAGTACAAGGCAATGGAGCAGAATTGTGTGCCCAGCACACAAAGGCTCGGTCTATTCAATGAAACGGAACTGATCCGAGGAACTACAATACCAACGCAGAAGTATAAAAAAAATGCTACACGTTCACTGCTGCTTGGCTTTTCACATTTAAATGAATACGAAGGTTGTTAATTTACTGTGTCGTTTAAAGCAGACGTCACAAAAGCCTTAATTTTAAGTGTTTGTAGCGCCGACGGACCGTTCCGTTTATCGTTCCGTTAAATAGTCTGAGTCATGAAAGCCGAGGTGGCGACATTCCCCCCTGTTCAACATCACACTGGAGGATAATGTTGGCTCAGACACTTCAAAAACCGGGTGAAATACAGAAAGCAAACAGAGCTGCGATAGAAAATTGACAGTTAACACAGCATCTCACCTTCCGGCCCTATGGACAGCGAATTATCCTCTTCATGTCCCAAAATACTGGGTGGGATGAAACGTTTTTATCAACTAGCCAGCCAGCAAGCTAACTGAGCTAGCTAGCTTCTCTCCAATGAAACAAGACCGCAGTTCTCAAAAATGCACGGCGCTCATCGTGATATTCCAGCGTTGCAATGTTATTCCCGACTTTGCCCATTTGACGGAGGAGCAGTTGATGTAAATCCAAAAAGAAGCCGCTTCCCTGGCATTTGCGGGGTTCACTTTCCTTTTCTCCAATGACAGCTGTCGAGTTCGGGAGGTGTACACACACGGCTAGTTGCTGTTAGCCACCCAGAAAAAAATATATCATTCGCATTAAAAAAAAAAAAAAAACTGTCAAAAAGCCAAAACACGTGAAGTCTGTACGAACAACCACTCCGTTAATGAAACTTCAAATCCTTGGGGAAAGTGTGGCGACAGGAGAGACAAAATGCTGGTTCCGACCGCTGGCTTGGCAACTGGTTCTATTTTCTTCAGCTGCGACAAGCTGAAGCGGCCAGTTCGGAGACTCTCGGAACCAGCCTGCCACGCAGCAACGACCGGCTCCAAAAACACGTCAAAACACACATTAGCTTGCCGAAAACAACAGCCTGCCCGTCACACGGACCGAGCTGAAATATATTTGAGAGAAATCATAAAATTATGTTGAAGATGACGCTTCGGTGTACTCTATAACGGTGGCCATATCTAATGATAAGTGGCACCGAAGCACAGCTCCCTCCCCTTAGGCTCTTAAAAAAACTAGTCCCACCTCCCCCAAGCAGAACCGCGGCAAACAAATGTTTTTAAGATCCTGTGATTTGTCGAAAGTGGTTAATTTTAAGAGTTTCGTATGCGTATAAACGCACAGACATTGACGACATAACGAATAAACAACACGTAAACCGTTGAGCAATTGCTTCAAAATACTCTCTGACCCGGCGGAGTGATATGAGCATTTAGTAAATAAAATAATGGCCACGGAGAACGCGAAAAGGTGGACACTGGAGTTTGCGTTTCGTCTGGAAGGGACTGCCAGTGTTCGTTAACGCGCTCCTCCAGCTCATGCAAGTCGTTTCTAATAGCAGCAGCGAATCCAATAGCCAGGCTTCCTCAGTTCAAGAAGATAAACAAAGACTGATTAACTTAAATGACGCCGTGGTGGCGGTCGTTTAGACCTCGAGCAAATGGACCTCAGCTACCTCCTCGGTGGACGCGTCCTCAATATTTCCTCTCTACCTTTCAAACACGCGTACAGCCTTACACAGCAGGCATTGCATTGCACTGCAAGTAAATGTAGCCTTCACACTGGCAGACATACTGTACATGCAGGGGTTAACTTAAAAAAAAGTCCCCAGGGGTCGGCTTTCAGCGGCTGTACATAATATGAGATAGAGCCAGAGAGAGTGTCGTGCATTTTAAAATCATTTTACTTCTTTGAGGGGTTCCTTGACTCTCAAGCTGACCAGTTTCTAATAAAATAAATTAGGCTTGAACAATGTAAATAAACAGAAGCCTGCTTCGTTGTTTTCCCAAGCCACGAGCGCTCCCTGCTGGCTGCGGTGAGACAGGGCGTTTGTTTCGAAACAAGATTTTTGGTTAAAAAGAATAAAAACTTTTGTAGATGACCGGACAAGCACAGCCCAACTATTAATTTAAAAGCAATAGCCTTTACATTTACAAAATAATAATAATAATTACAGCTACATGCCATGTCAAATGATAGTGTAAGTTTAACAGAACTGTTTATTGCACATCACAACAAGAAACACAGAAAATCCTCTGTGTAATAACCAGTTTGTTGTCATTTAGTCCTCTGGTTCACTCTAATGGTTGCAGATGGCCAAATGTCCTGATATGATCTAATAAAAAAAGATTCAGAATTGCATAGTTTGGCCATATTTGAGAGAAAACAAACACTAGTCGCAAATAAATAAAAGTTGGTTTTGGTTGTTGGGGCTGTTTTTGGTCTCATTATACTCTTATTTAACTGGCTGTTTGTGTGCATCAGTCAGCAATAGACTCACTTGTATAAAAATAAAAAGGTTGAATGGAGGAATGAATAGTTGGGTTCAAAATTATTATTTTTCTGTTATTTTGTGAGCCAGTAGCCGACATTTAAAAAAAAAAAATTATTTAAATGTTTGAATTGGCTTTTATTTTTGTTATTTTGTTGTCTTGTTTTCATTATTTTGCACTATGTGTCTCATTTTAAAAGATAATATTGGTAACCAAAAAAGTCCATGCTCAATAATCCAGGTATACAATCCAACAATTTTCAGTCAGGTCATCTGGACAGTTTTTTTTTTTTTTTTTCCTGAAACGTTTCACTTCCATCCGGAAGGCTTCTTCAGTCAAGGAAACATACAACACAAAACTGATTCTTCTCCCAAATTTTTGAGCATGGACTTTTTTGGTTTTGAACCAGTTTGACATGACTGTCGATGAGGAAGAGGGCCGGCACAAGAGGAGGGGGCGTGCCAAAGACACCATCTTAGCACCAACATAACTGGTTTGTTCCACTTTGGAGTAAGCTGTTGGGGGAAGAATCAGTTTTGTGTTGTGTGTTTCCTTGACTGATGAAGCCTTCTGGATGGAAGGTGAAACGTTTCAGAAAAGAAAAAAAAAAAAGAAACGGTCCAGATGACCTGACTGAAAATTGTTGGGTAATATTGGTAAACAAGTCAAATGTATTTTGTTATTTACAATTTGCTTAAAAACTATTGTAATCTATTATTTTAAAACAAAGTATTGTTTTGTTATTTTAGGTAGTGGTGGCACAGAGGCTATAGAAGGTGGGCCTGTGATCAGAAGGTCGCTAGTTCAACTCCCCAGACTGACAACATCAAAATGTGATAGGAAAGGCGAAACACCCACACCTGCCTTCACCTTCATTTGCCCCACTCTGGGCCCTTGAGCAAGGCCCTTAACCCCCACCATCTGCGCCCTGGGGCACCCCAGCTCTCTGCTCCACACAGAGGGCTGTGGTAGCTCAGTGGTCTGTGGTTGTGTCAGGAAGGACATCCGGTGTAAAAACAATTGCCAACTCTTTGTGTGAGGTAGTGGTGACCCCTGATGAAGGGAGCAGCCAGAAGAAGAAGAAGAAAAAAGTTTTGTTCTTTTTAAGAAACCACTGTACTGTACATTAAAAATAGTAAATAAATAAATAACCGACATAAAGAAAAGAGGTATACATTGAAACTTGTTTACCAAGACCTAAAATGACTGGACAAAAAAAAATAAAAAACTTTGACAATTGAGGAAAGTCAGTAAAATAAAAAAGCTAATTTCTTTGTTATTTACATTTGGAAACACTCAATCGTTTTCGCCCGAGGCTCTTATTATTTGACGTTATTACAGAGCATCTTTGATCATATAGTAAGAATATGACAAAATAAACATTTCACTAGTATTTTAGAGTGTTGTGGCATCAAAGATCCAATAGCTTTCCTGTCATTGACAAGCAGGTGTTCCTTACCTTATGTTATGACCTTTAAGCTGGTGTGTGTTCACACCAACCAGTTACTCCTGCCATATACGAGGCAGCTGCACTGGAACTTGTACCACTGATACTCTGAAGAGCTTATTTTCAACAAAACCAGCAGAAAGTGCCGCTCCAGTAAAAACTCCAGACTATGATTACAATCAGAGCTTATTTTGTGTTTAATAATGATTCAACGAGAGCCTCGCTCATATATGACAGAGGGAAGAGGTGGGGTTTACTCTCGATGCCCTGCTTTAAAGACTAAACCGAGACCCTGCAGGAGTTTAAATTTATTACATATTCTTTGTCTCTATTGTTTAAATGGTGTAAAAGCAGCTTTTTGTTTGTTCTGGTGAAATAGTTTGGTGAACAGTTGACATCAACTAAATTCTTCATATGACATCTAAACACACTTCTTATTTTAAGGCAACTGCTGAAGGTTTTAAGCCAAACTGAAATCAGTTTTGAACATTTATTTACATTTTCCCTCATCATCAGTGTGATAAAGAAGGAAAAATTAATAAATTGATGTGTTAAAGAGCCTGCATGAACCACAGGACCCTGAAACTGATCAAGTGTTTCCACTTTGTGTTTGCTTAAAGAAAAATGTTGGATTAATGTGATTATTAATGTGAAGAATTTCCACTGGAATAAAGACTGAATGTTGTTCTTTCCCCAGAACAGACAGAGGGCAGTGTGACTCCATGTTATTCAAGTCAGGCAGCAGAACACACATCACATTTCTCATTATTTACCATGAAAAAACCCACTCTGCGCCTTTTCCCTTCCATCTTTTTAAAACCGTTGCTCATTTAATTTTCAAGTAATAAACTGTTTCCACTTTGTGAGTCACTTTTCCACAGTTGGAAGATGTGTGGTCCATTAACGTGGAACATGATGAATAATCGCAGCTCCAAATCCAGTCCTAAAAGGAAATTTGTAAAGTTCAGGGAGGCAAAACTATTGTTACTTAATTTAAATGAAGCTTTTTGTTCCGCAACACAAATTCTGTGAGCGCTGACGTTTAAGTATGAGGGTATCCTTAAATATATGCGTGTTTTTCACCATTCTGCAAATATAATTAAATGTTAATTTATTCTTTAAGTTTTTACAACTATAAGCAGACAAGTGTGATGTATTAAAAATAAGTCTTTTCAGCAAAATAAAGCCTAATTACACAGCGAGTGGGTAAACGCTGCAGGAACTCTTCTAGTTGTTATAGTAATTGATGCCCTTTAGCTATTAGCAGAATCATTTTCAACTAAGAAATGCCATGACTTGGAGATAAAACAGACCTTTTTTAAGGTAATGACTTACATTTTGTTACATATTCAAGTCATTGTGGGTGTAACGTCTTAAAATGCAGTAGATTTGCAAGTATATTTCTCCTAAATAATTGTTTTCATTGTTTGTTTTTTCCTGTGATAGTGTGACTTCTTTTCAAATATGCAATACAACAATCATTACCTGCAAACCATTGGCTTTGAATGCTATTATAACACAAGAAAATGCAATTATACAGAAACGATGCACACAAAAAAAACCTCTGCCAGCATCTAAAATACATTGTTAGACGATATAATGACGGGAACATCATGATTTCAAGCTTAAACCACCTAATATTTCTTTCTTCCTGTTTTTATAAGAGTATTTCAGAGATGTAGCACTAAAGGTGCTCAGGATGTAAAGAGTAAAAAGCATTTCCAGAATAACAAGACAGCAGCTGAACAAATGATAATATAATAGAGAAGTCAAGAAACATGAAACCAGATGCTGCTGAGCTCTTTGTCTGCAGAAGAAAAGATATTTTACTAATTCAATCTATGTTGGTTCTCAGCACAGCCATAAATTTATCCACCTTTGTTACACATAAATCACACATAAAGGCTTTTGTATGGAGAAAATATTGAGCAAATAAAAACACACGTTTTAGAATCAAGTTACGATCATTATGCATGAAAGCAAAGTTTAATTTGTTAACCATAATTAGTTTCATTTTTGTCTGATTAAATGCAGAAATTGACGTTTGGACAGCAAATATTTGAAGGTTTTATTTGATTTGGTCACATGAAACAGAGAATTAGTTGAAAGTGGATTTATGAAACAAAAAAGCAAATGCACTTTACTTTATAAACTGAAGTGTTTGGTTTAAATCGAACAAAGTAAAAGCAGCAAGTGGTTTAATGCATTGATTGCTCTTAAAACTTTCATGTGATAAAATAAATCAAATATCTGA